TTCCCTTCCTCGAATCCTGGTACTCCATTTACTCCTTGATCCAAACAGCAGACCCCATTTTCTTTACTCTGACAGCAGCCGGAAGTCTAGAGGGTAAAAAAACAAATAACCCAGAATTTATTGCTGATTCTACCAAGTATTTTTTCAGCTTTGTTGAGGTATAATTGACAAATAAAACTGTATATATTTGAAGTGTACAATGTGTTTATTTGGTATATGTGTATTTTGTTAAATGATTACCACAATGAGGTTAATTATCACATCCATCACCTCACATAGTTACCATTTTTGTGTGTGTAGATATGCTGAGAACACTTAAGATCTACTCTCTTAGCAAATTTAAGTATACAACACAGTATTATTAACTATAGTCACCATGCTGTAAATTAGATCCTCAGAGCTTATTAATCTTATAACCGAATGTTTGTTCCCTTGAGCCAGCATCTCTCCATCACCCCCAGCCCCTAGGCCCTGGTAACCACCATTATATCCTCTGTTTTTATAAGTTCAACTTTCTTTTTCCATTTTTCATTCCACATGGAAGTGAGGTCATACAGTATTTGTCTTTCTCTATCTGGCTAATTTCACTGAGGATAATGTCCTCTAGAGTCATCCATGTTGCTGCAAATGGCAGGATTTCCTATTTTCTCATGGCTAAATAATATACACACACACAGACACACACACACACACATCTTTAAATATATGTACACACACACACACCTTAATCCATTCATCTGTCAATGGACAGTTAAGTTATTTCCATATCTTGGCTATTGGGAATAATGCTGCAATGAAGATCTCTCTTTGAGATCCGGATTTCGTTTCCTTCAGATATATACCCAGAAGTGGGATTGCTGGGTCCTACGGTGGTTCTATTTTTAACTTTTTGAGGAACCTCCATACCATTTTCCATAGAGGCTGCACCATTTTACATTTCCACAAGCCGTGCACAAGGGTAACCTTTTCTCCATGTCCTGGCCAACACTTGTCTTTCTAATAGCCATTCCAACAGGTATGAGGTGATATCTTATTGTGGTTTTGATTTGCATTTTCCTGATGATTAGTGATGTTGAACCCCTTTTCTTGTACCTGTTCAGCATTTGTATGTCTTCTTTGGAAAAATGTCTATTCAGATTCTTTGCCCATTTTTTAATCAAGTTATTCATCTTTTTTGCTGTTGAGATGCATGAGTTCCTTATATAATTGGATATTAACCCCTTATCAGATAGGTCGTTTGCAAATATTTTCTCCTGTTCCGTAGATTGCCTTTCATTTTGCTGATGGCTTCCTTTGCTGAGCAGAAGCTCTTCAGTTTGATTTTGTCCCACTTGTTTATTTTTCCTTTTGTTGCTTGTGCTTTTTGTCATATCCAAAAAAAATCATCGCCAAGACTGATGTCAAGAAGTTCTTTCCCTGTGCTTTGTTCTAGGAGTTTTATAATTTCAGATCTTACATATAAGTCTTTAATTCATCTTGAGATCATTTTCGTAAGTGGTATAAGATAACAGTCCAATTTCATTCTTTTGCATGTGGATATTCAGTTTTCCCAAAACCATTTACTGAAGAGACCATCTTTTCCCCATTGTGTGTTCTTAAATCCTTTGTTAAATATTAGCTGATTGTATACGCATGGGTTTATATCTGGGCTCTCTGTTCTGTTCCACCTATGGGTCTGTTTTTATGCCAGTGCCGCTCTGCTTGGATTACTATAGCTTTGTAATATAGATTGAAATTAAGAACTGTGATTCCTCTAGCTTTGTTCTTCCTCGAGATTGCTCTGGCTATTTGGGGTCTTTTTGGTTCCATAGGAATTTTAGGATTGTTTTTTCTATTTCTGTGAGAAACGCCAATGGAATTTTGTTAGGGCTTGGACTGAATCTGTAAATTACTTTGGGTAGTTTGCACATTTTAACAATATTAATTCATCCAATCCATGAACATGGGATATCTTTCCACTTATTTGTTTATTCCTCAATTTCTTTCATCAATGTCTTGTAGTTTTCAGTGTACAGGTCTTTTACCTCCTTGGTTAAATTTATTCCTACATACTTTATTGTTTCTGATGCTATTGTAAATGGGATTGTTTTCTTAATTTCTCTTTCCAATAGTTTGTTGTTAGTGTACAGAAACACAACTGATTTTTCTATGTTGATTTGGGATCCTGCAACTTTACTGAATTTGTTGATTAGTTCTGACAATTTTTTTGGTGGAGTCTTTAGGGTTTTCTATATATAAGACCACATCATCTGCAAATAGAGACAATTTTACTTCTTCCTTTCTCGTTTGGATATCTTTTATTTCTTTTTCTTGCCTAATTACTTGGCTAGGACTTCCAGTACTACGTTGAATAGAAATGGCAAGAATGAGCATCCTTGTCTTGTTCTTCATTTCATTCGGTGCATGTGTCATCTCCAGAATTTCCGTTTGGTTCTTTTCTATTACTTCTATTTCTCTGTTAAACTTCTCATTTAGTTCATGAATTGTTTTCCTGATTTTGTGGAATTGTCTTTCTGTGTTTTCTTGTAGCTCATGGTTAGTAGGATGCGGGGCCATTGATGTCCTCCGAGACCCCGGGCTGCTCTTCTCCGAGCCCCTGCCGGGGGCTCATGTAGCACTCCTCGGTGTTTTGAATGGGGTGAGAAAGAAGTAGGCCTCTTTGGCAGTGCCTCACATAGCTGGGGAAGCTGGGTGCTCACTCACACACTCTCACCTCCCCCGTGGGAGAAATCGTAGGTGGAGAAGGTCTCTCTGGGCTGTGAGCTGTGCACCTTGGGGGAGGGATGACACAGGTAAAGTGAACCTGTTCCTCCTACTCTGTGCATGTACAATCTTGGATTTTTTGGCTCCACTGTCATGCTGGAACTTCTCTGCTGGACTCCTGGATTTCCATAAAGGCACTCTCATCTGTGGATGATCGTCAAAATTGGCGTTCTTTGGGGGGACGGTGGTGGAAAACTCCTATTTCACCATTTTGCTGATGTCACTCCTCCCTGGCCTAAGTCTTGATTCAAGGCTGGCACCGGACCTCACCTACAGGAAGGCAGCTGGTCCAGCCCCAGGAGGGGGCTGGCCTTCTGGGGTGAGTTGCTGAGGCTGGAGAGGGAATGCTAACCCCAGGCAGGAAGCAGAGTCCCCTCTACTAAGCATTAAATTAAACAGGTGACTACCCATTGAAACAATACAGAATCAATACTGTCAAATGTTATGAAGAGAGCCATGTGTACTTAAACATAATGAAACTAACATCTAATAAAAAAATCTGAGCTTATGAGAAATTTTGAATAACAGTGATTATTAAATAAATTAAAATATGCAAAGATCTTATAACTAAGCCTGACACATAGCAATAAATATTAGCAACAGTAGGTTCTTAATATGAATAATATTTAATATTTTATTAACAATACACATTAAAAAATATTATCTCTCAATTTTGAATTATTACATACTGAAATCATAGTTTAACTTCCCAAAGGGAAATCTTATGTTCCTCATTTCAAGGTTATTTGTTCATTTATTCATTCAACAAATACTGACTGAGTGGCTACTCAATCGGTGCATGGTGACCAGCCCTGGAGATGCACAGCCTCTGCTGTCCAGCAGCCCGCCGGCTGCTGAAGACATGGGGGAGCAAATGGGCAGTTACAGCACAGTGTGACCAGCGCTGTGACAGGGCACGCACAGAGGGCTGCACGAGCACCGGGGCAGGCACCCGACCCGACAAACAGATCGGGAACCACCTCTTGGAACAAGCCCATATCAAAGCGCTTAGGGGCTCATTATGTGCCTGCTGGGACAAGCCCGATGAGCGAGAGTAAGCGCCCTGCCCAAGATGAAATAAGATTACAGACCTAGGGAGAAGCAGCAGCCCTGTACTGGGAGCAAAGGCTGCTCCCCCATCACACCTGACGACCCCCACTGTTCTGTTCCATTGGGGAAAATAGACTCAATAATGCGTTCCTGTCTACTTACTTTACAGAAAGTCTTGCACGTGTCAATTATGGGCCTGTATCCAGTGCAACGGCACAGGTTACCTGAAGGAGAAAACCCAGCTCTGTTACTCGAGTAACCTAGAGAGGCACAGCCTGCCAAATGCACGATGGAAACAAGGACCCCATCCTAGAAGGAAGCCCTGGTTGACATTTCAGCCCACCCAATCTACCAAGTCAGATTTTTCCGTCAGCACCTTGGGATATGTGGTTGGGAGTCTTGAGGCAGATTTTAACAACTCAGCTATTTGTACTTTCTCTTTGTAAACAGTTACGGTTAGGGTTCCTCTGCTCATGACAGGTGCTCAAAGAACAAGCCAAACACTCTTGCTCTACAGCCACATTCAAGAGCTACGCTTCAGTCGGTAGAAAGATCTAAGGCATTATATAGCAGCAAAGGTAATCACTAAACTGTGGAAGGAACAGAGCACACGATTTATTTACATTAAATCATCAGGCCAGTGTTTCTCTCACAGTGGTTCATAACCTGCAGTCTCCCACCCACCCCCAAATCTGGGGTCTTACTTGAAAGCAAAGCCACTGAAGCAAGTGCTCTGAGATTGGGTCCCAGGACCCATTCTTTACAAACTCCCCATGCAAGTCTTAAGCACCATAAAACTTGAGAACCCCTTATCACTTGTTCACATCATAAACTGTCATGAGATAAAATGCATAATAAAACCCAAAGGAAATCGGGCAGAGATTCACGTGCTGCGTCTCTCCTTTCGATTTCCATCTGCTCTGGTCTTCCCTGGGACACATGCAGAGAACCTGTGCACATGGGCGTTAGCCTCCTGTCCTCAGGCAGAGAAGTAAGGTCCTCGGGAGGCAGGAGACAAAGACAAACAGAGCCATGGAGAGTTTCACCAGAAATAGGATTTGGGAGGCTATTCTTTCTAAAAATTGTTTAGAATCTTGGTATTGAAGACCTCTCCCACCCACACACTGAGCTCCTGACCCGAATAAAACAGCTCTGGACTGGATAAAGACAGTTCTTTGCTGTAAGTATGAGCAGAAGATCTCCCTCTCTTTGATTCTGTGTTGTATTCAAGAGTCTTCTGATATTTAATATGGTTCTGAGAGCATGGGGGAATGGTGGGAGAGGGTGGTACATGGGGACAGGAGGACTTTTTCGAAGGGTAAATGAATAAACTGGCTTTATAATGATTATAAAAGTAATCAAACAATAAAAAAAGGAGGAGAGTCTTATAGATTAACACAGACTTAAGAAATATATCAGCCAAGTGCAATGCGTGGATCTTGTTTGAATCCTGATTTGAACAAACCAACTCCTCTACTTATCAGTGGTATAACTCTGAATAAATTACTCTCTCTAGACCTCATTTTCCCCATCTATGAAATGGAGATAATAATAATGCCCATCTTATAAAGTTACTGTAAAGAGTAAATGAAATAATCTTTTTGTAGCGCTTAACACCGTGTGGGGCACATGGTTAAGTGTCCAATATTAGCTCTCGCCATCATCATTATTTTAAAAAACACACACACATATAACCTACCACCAAGGGCATCAGTTAACTGATCCAGAGTGGGCTCTGGATGGTTCCTGAGCAGCGTGTAGATGGACATCACCATCCCAGGGGTGCAAAACCCACACTGCGTGCCGTGACACTTGGCGATCCTCTCCTGGAAGTACAAAAAGGTTAGAAACGTGGAATCTTGTGTGCCACCCAGACCTCTGAATGAGAACCTGCTTTTCAACAAGATCCCCAGGGGATTCGTTTGCACATTAAAATTGAAGAGGCCCCAGAAAGTCCTTCTCATCCTGGGTGTCTCCTTGTCTTGGGCTGGGTGGCTGGGATTACTGGTCCTCACCAGCTTTTGAGCTTCTGTAAAAGTTCTCATCCTTTAGAACCATCAGGGGAGCTTTCAAATTTTCAAGGCCCAAGCAGCACTCAGACCTGTTGACTGAGCATCTCTGTAGGTGGGGCACAGACATGCGTTTTTAAAGATCCCCAGGTGGTTTCCATGTATAGTCAATAGGAATTGCTGAGATAAATCCCTTGAAGTCCTTCAGAGAAATGAACCAAATTACACTCCAGTTGAGAAAAAACAAAACTCCAAGTACTTCTCAAGGGACTTCTGTCTGCCCACACGGCCCTAAGGCTTTCGTGCAGAGGAGTCTGTTTACTAAGTGCCGTCATTAATTCAGAAAACACTCAAGAAGGAAACGTTATTTCTTCTCTTCCCAACTTTCTCCCCCAGCATTCTCTCTCTGGAGTCTAAGTTCAGAGCTCCAACCCCATTTGGAAGCCGTCTTCTGGCTACGCTGCAACAACAGCAGTTACTGAAACTGATGAAAGGCTGTCCCTGTGCCTGTGAACAGCCAAGTCTCACAAGTGTCTCCAGGCAGAACCTGCTCCCGCTAGGTGACGAGGTTCATAGAAAATACACAGAACCCAAGATTCCTTCAGGTCCAGAGAACTTCAAGTTTGCCCATTTTCTATATTGTCCCTATTGTTTCCCTCTTGTAACCTCTCCTCAATAGTGACCCTCATACCTAGATAAAAACAAGTAGCAATAGCATTTTTAGGTGTCTAAATAATTTAAAGTCAGGCATCTGAGGTGCCCTTTCACTTGAGGCAAAGTTATAACAAGGTGCTGCCGTAGGAGAAAAGCCTCAAAATTCATTGACAATTCCTATTATCTGTCTTCTCAATAAAGCTTTGAATTTAACAAATCTTTTTGGTAGTTGAGATTTTCATTCAGCTTTAAAATCATGTTAGTTTCCACTTTAAAATTAACAACAAAATTCTATCCATCAATAGACATGACTCTCGTTTCTTTGAGTTTGGAAGATGTAAGACAAACAGGTCCCATCTAATTAGAATGTAGAAAACAAACCCAGTGATGTCAGGGTTTTCTTTAAAAAGAGAAAGTCCTCTAGTTTTCCAAGAGCATCTTACCAAGAAGTCAGTCACAAAACACCCACACAGCCCAGGTTTCACCCCTGGCCCTGGCTTGGTTTCATCTGTCAGCAGTGACCAAGCAGAAGGGCCGAGACCGCCCTGCTGTAGCCCTCTCAGGGACTCACCATGTCATTAATGGTTTTCGAAGCACAGAAGTCCCATTAGGAAGAGGCACACCCTCACCTGAACAGGATGAATCCTGGCCTTGGTGCTTCCTATGCCTTCCACTGTGGTGACGGCAGCACCGTGCAGAGAACAGATGGGGGTCAGACAGGCATTGGCTGGATAATGTCTTCAGAATGCAAAAGAGAAGCACAAATTACATTGTACCCAGTGGGAAAGGGGACTGAGCATTCACCGAGCACCTCTAATGGGGCAGGTTTTATATAATGTCCCAGGCTTTGCACATGCATTTCATCCTTAGCTCATGGCCCTTTTACAGAAGTGGAGTCTGAGGGTCAGAGTGATTTGCTCAGGGTCATAGCTGGAGTGTCAGAGACAGCATCAAATGAGGTCTCCTAATTCTGACTCCAGAACAGTTTCCTCTAATGTGTCTTTTTCTCTTGAATGAGGGGCAGACAGTCTCCTCTCTAGTCACATGAGACCAATCACCGAGAGCATCTTCCATCTCCTAGGCAGTGCTGGGCAAGGGGTTGCTTGGGCAATAAAGTGGATTGGATGTTGTGCTTCCAAAGAAATATGGTGTGGGATACACAACTCTGCAATCCCACAAACCTAGTGCTGGAAAATGTCCAACTCAGAGTGACTCCTGAAAAGTTCTCACTCACCAAACAGAACTACAAACGGCCACAATACTTGAGATAAATATTCTATCTCAAAAATAATCAAGCGATTCAAATTAAGCAATGAGAAACACCACGTTTATCAAAGAAAATGACAAAGATTTTTAAAAATTGTAATATGCATAATTAGCAAGGGTCAGGAAAATGGAACTTACACACTTCTGACAAGAACGTAAATGAAAGGGGAAGCCCCCTTGGCCTGAGGGCTGAGGACAACACTCTAAAAATGGGGCAGGGAAGGAGTGCTGAAAGAACTCTCCAGGCACATTGGCTCTGGGACAAGGCAGATTGAGAGAGAGCAGAACTGAGAGAAAACTGCAGGCTCTCAGGCTTCACAGAGTGTAGGGCAGTTGCCAGCTTCCGGATGCTAAAGACAGGGTGGCATGTCTGCAAGAGATCTCCCAAAGCAGAGACAGTGAGACAGGAGAGCAAAGGGAACTCCCCAGTGACCTAAAAAGTGGGCAGCCAGGCTGTAAGGCAGGGGGGGATCTCCCAGAGTTCAGGAAGCAGGTGGCTTGGCTTTGGAACACAGGTAGATCTCTGAAATCTCACCAGTGCTCAGATCCTTAGCTCTCGTCTGATATCTGTGGAATGATGTAAAATGGTCTAAAATATGCATAATTGGAGTCTCAGAGAGGGAGGAGGGAGAGAGAGAATGAAGATTGGAAGAGATAGTGGCTTGAGAAGTTTCCAAAGCTGGTAGAAGACATCAACCCACAGATCCAAGAAACTTGGCAAACTTGAAGAAGGATAAATATCAAACATAAAAAGATGTTGAATGTAATGGGAAGTCATTGGTGAATTTTAGGTAGGAGAGTGCAGTGATCTGGTTTACACTTGTAACAGGCCTCTCTGACTGAGGTATGGCATCTATGGGGGCAAGTACGGGTAACTGACACAAGAGTGTGGTGATGACATTACTCTTCACTGCCATTTCAGCCCTTCCTGTCCTCCTCAGACAGCACAGGGAGTCAGACAGCCTTTCACCCTTCAACAGGGGTTCTCTGACCATATGCTATCCTCACTGATGGTACCCTTTTCTTCTAACCCATTCGTATTCCCCAGACTATGTCTGTTTTGTTCATCACTGTACCCCCAGTGCCTAGCACAGTTTGTGTCACATGGTAAGCACTCAATGTATATTTCCCAAAGGAAGGAACGAAACAAAGTTCAAAACTATAAAAATTCAAGATATCTGCAATTTGGCGCAAGGTACCTTATCTTCTTGGTTATGGGGTTATATCGTGAGATCATCACCGTGCAGGCGCCACAGCCTCCCCCTCCACAGCCATACTTGGTTCCTGTGAGTCGGACTGGAAAAAGCATAGTTAAAGATCATGTGTTTTCCATAATTCTCTTTCGAGAATAGCTCCGACCTTAGAGGATAACACACATCAAACACTCTGAAACATATAGTTACGTTCAATACATATTTATCAAATGATACATGTATGTCATAGCTCTATTACTTAGAATCTTTCAAATTCTTCATTTCCATTTGTGTGTTATATGTAGTCTCCTCCTTTTCAAAACAACTGGACCACAGGTTGCTAAAAACAGGGCCAAAGTAAAAAAGAAAAAGGAAGAGTCTATACCTGTAAGGGCTTGAGTATTTGAAAGTATGAGTACAGAGCACACTTGTTCTCATCCTTATCTGTGTATTTGATAATGTACAAAGTAAAATGTCAAATTGTATTCAGTTCTTGGAATATTTGTCTCATATTATCCATGTTTGCTATATTTCTCTGCTTCTCCGTCGCAGAAACTGTTAGCTGTTCCCCAATATCTGTTCTCTCCTTCTTCCTTGGTAATAGAAACCCCAAATTTTTGGCTATGTACGTTTGCCCAGAAGAAAAAATACATTTCCCCAGCCTCCTCTGTTGCAAGGTGGGGTCATTACCAAAGCTGGCCAACGGGATGTAAGCATAAGTATTGTGTATGACCACCAGGAGGGAAATGTCCTCAAAAAGAGAGAGGTGCCCCCTTCTCCATCTCTTACTTCTTCCTATTGGCTGGAATGCAGATACGATGGCTGGACCTCAGTTAGTCATCTCTGACCATGAGGAGAAAGCTGCACGCTGATGAACGGGGAGCCGCAGGACACAGGAGCTGGGGTCCCTGATAACGTTGTGACACTGCTGTACTAGCCCTGATCCACCTACCTCTGGGATTCCCTTATGTGACAGCCACCAGAATGTGCCTCACAGACCTCCTTCAACAGGGGGGTAATGGACTGTGAGACCCAGATGCTGTTCTGTTATATCTATCTCCCCAGTTTTCATTAAGGCCAGGCCTCCCTGGCTGCTCCCCATCAATGGCTCAGAGCTATGGAGAGACATGGGGGTCCTTGTCAACCATCCCCAATGCCCTGATGAACATGCCTTAGACCACACAGCAGTCTAAGACCCTTCCACTCAACCTTCTCTCCCTCACTTCCTTACTCCTTCGGACTTGCATTGTGGTCTAATGGCTCCCTAAGCCTTCTCTGGCTCCCTCCCTATTTCCTTTCACTCAGGCATTTCTCCTAATAAAACCCATGCACATTTAATCCCATTTTTTGGTGTCTGCCTCCCAGAGAACCTGAACTAACACAATGAGAAAGAAATAAACTTCTATCTTCTATCTTGTCTAGTGCTATTTGGGATTTTCTGTCACTCACAAGTGAACCAAATCTTAAATATTACACTTTGCCACCGTGGATAACCAGGAAATCAGTTTTCATCGTTTTTACGTCCAAAGATCTTGAATGACCCTCAGAATATAGTTATTGATGCATTTTGAGTTGTGGACTCTTTTGGGAATTTCTCTCTCTCCAGGGGAAAAAATGTACAAATTCCCATTGTCACATAATTTTGCATATAATTTAGTGGGATCTACAGACCTCTGGAAGCCCGCTGGAGTTCATGCATAGCAGCCTAAGAATCCATTCCTTAGGTGACTTTTGTTTAGAAAGCTTTTCTAAAGTAACATTTTCAGGTGTAATTTCTCCATGGTCCTTTTACTTTCCTTTCGGGATATTTCTGTGCTCTCTTTCTCTAACGGGCATGATGATTAGTACTTGAAGATAGAATGTCAATATTGTGACTCTTAATCCTAAGGGGCTTAATTAAGCCCTTTTAACATTTGCTTTAATTCCCATTGCTAGCTTCTCATTATTGTACAATACATTTAGTGCCAAAACAGAGATTAGAAGGAACACAGTTCTTCTGACAGCCACAATTGTGCGCTGCGTACACAACTAAGACATAGGACTTTCTCAAAGAAGAACATGAAACCCAAATTGTAGGGAATATGATTCAGTGTGGCTCTAAAGAGATAGGTGAAGTATCACCTGATGAGGATATCAGAGCTATACACAAACACACACACACACGTGCACACACTCAAAGCAAAAAAAGGATACGCTTCTTCCTCAGGTATGGTAACAGCATTGTTTCAGGATCAACATTTTTTTCTATCACCTGCACCAGAAGGAAAAGAAGAGTTATACACATAAAGGTGAGGGAGCTAGTGGGATATTCACATTGGCAGGCTCATCTTAATTTGATGGAAATGTACGTTAATTAACTCTTCTACTCGTATTTTCAAGTTGATTTAATGTTTACGGAACACCTGTGATGTACAAATCACCTCTCTTACGTGTGGAGTCTAAATCGTGAGCCCCTCCACCACTTTGCACTGTCCTGGGTCCTGAATCATCACTGTTCAATAAGGCAGCAGTTGCTTCCACTAACAGAACACCAGTGACTCCTGCCCAGCTTCTCTTAGAGAGTCTGAAGCACGTGAGGCAAAAGATATCAGCAGAGCAGAGTAGAGAAGGAGGAGGTGGGGGTGGCTGCTAGAACAGAATACCATCTGAGAAATTGATTTAGTTTTTAAAAAGGACTTGTTTGTTTATCATGTTCAAAGAATTCCAGTTTTCAGAAAGAGATCACACCCAACCGTGGCCCCCAAATCAAAGAAACAAAGGAGAAGATAAAATGTGTACGCCAAGTGATACAAAGGTGTGCAAGCAAGGGCTCACTTCAGAAGCTAGTCTGCGTGGGCAGCCTAGCCTCACAGCAACAGAACAGCAGTGCCCAAGGGACGGCATGATTGAAATGTCATGATGGGTTTTCCAACGTGACCACGTTTTCTCTTTTTTGATTAAAAATGTGGCTTTCTGGGGCCGGCACAGTGGCACATTTGCTATGTTCATGCACTCCGCTTCAGTGGCCTGGGGTTTGCAAGTTTGGATCCCAGGAGCAGACCTACACATCACTTGTCAAACCATGGTGTGGTGGTGCCTCACACAAAATAGAGGAAGATTGGCACAGATGTTAGCTCCCCGACAATCTTCCTCAAGCAAAATGAATAAGATTGGCAACAAATGTTAGCTCAGGGCCAATCTTCCTCACAAGAAATAAAAAGGATTTCTTTTAGATTCACAGAAGAGAAGCTTGATCCTTCCCAATTTCAGAAGTAGAGTCCACCCTTCACCATGTTATATGAATTTCGCCCTGGGAAGTAGGTGAGGAGGGGACATGTGTTTATTCTGTGGATGTCTCCCGACCGTCAATTTTAAGTGGCCATATGCCTGCAAAGTGAGGCATGTGCCAATTACCACCGTCAGACCTGTGCCCTGCAGGAGTCCGCCGTATAGGAAAAAAGATGTCAGTGTGTAATTGTGTGTGTGTGCGTGTGTGTACACACACTGTAATACAAAGAAGAGTGTGGAGGCCCCAGGCATCCCCAACTTAATGGGCCCTCAAATGGAACTCTATTTCTTTCCCCAACTTACTCCTTTCTTTCTTTTCCATAACTTGTTTAATAGCCTCACCACCTGCTAGGGCATCGAAGCTTAAAACCCGAACTATTGGGCCGGCCCCGTGGCTTAGCGGTTAAGTGCGTGCGCTCCGATGCAGGCTGCCCGGGTTCGGATCCCGGGCGCGCACAGACGC